GTAATTAATGTATGAAAAAATGAATAATAGTAGTAGAATTTTAACTTTTCAAACTTAAACTCTTCAATTGTCTAGTCTTCATCGAAGAGAGCCAATTGGTGACATTTTCTTATTTATACGAAAATTATTAATGTATTTTGATCAATAAATAATCAAGGAACCATTAAAATGTAATTTTATTAGAAGAGATGGAAGAATTTCAAAAGAATATTCATAATTAAGAAGAAAGACAGTATTTTTTTTTCATGAATAAAAGAAATAGGTTCTTTCTTTCTGCGTATGGTGTTTGTCACCCTTAACATTTATTCACAGGAGGACTGATGGCCCTGAGCTCCATCTTCGTGGTTGGCAACTCACTGCTTCTGCAGCTTCATGGGTCTCCGATCCCTAGAAAGGGCTAACTCTTGACACCAGTTATTCCCATTCCGGCACATATGCTTAAATAAGCTAGCATAGAGTATTTTAGCCCAAACCTGTAATATATTTGTATCTTATAAAAGATTAGAGTGTATATTTTAATAAATTGCAGAAAAAACATTGTAATAAATACTTATATTCTCAGTGAATGACAACGTAAAAAATATCTTTCTTATTATTCTTTTAACAATAATGAATGAGGCATTAACGAAAATTTAAACAGAGTCTAATGTCATATACTCGTTCACTAAGAAAGAAAATTGTATACTTTAATACGAGAGGAGAAAGCTTCTGCATATTTCAATATGTGTGTTTTTGTTTTCTTTCTCAGATTCAATATCTTTATATGACAAGAAGAAATAAAACAAGAGATATTTGGATATTCGTTATCGGAATATTTTTATTGGATTCATAAATTTAACTATAAAATATAATTTAAAATTAACTTAATTTTATAAAGTTTACTTATAAGACTTAAACATACTTACATAATAAATTCGTTTTTAGATTATAAAAGAATAAATTTTAAATTCAAATTAATTTTACAAGACTGTATTTTAAAATTTATATCATTTGTATATATAGTAAGTTTATATTATTTCTAATAGTTGTGAAATATTCAACGACTTTTAGATGAACTAAACTATTGAATTAGTTAATTATACCTATATATACTTGAAATATTTGTAAAATGAACGTATTTTGTTATATGTTTTCTAGTATTTATCTATATAAGATTTTTATTTTAATTATTGTAAAATATTTTTACTTGAAATAGTTATTTTTTAAAGGACTTCTTTCTCAAGGGAACTTCTTCACGAGCAGAGCATAGCCATGACAGCCGAAATGGTAATTTTATTTCGATTGAGTTATCTTTCTCTTCAATCTCTGATCTACATCCCATAAATTCCCTCATTCCAATCATCCGCAAATTACTTGATACAAATGCAATAATCACTCACTTTTCCATCCTCTTATAGATTTTATTTATTTATTTACTAGGACAGTTGTAGCTAATATTAATCTGAATAAACGAGGTTAGAATTTGATTTCTTATTATATTTGTGAAATGTGGAGTGCTAAATGGGCCCCCACAAGAAGTAAACCTAAAAGCCCGTTAACTGGGCTAAGTCCGGGGTGCATTAAGAAAAAGCAAAATGTGTGGTAATAAAACGACAACAAAGAAATAGAAAAGGTCCTGAATTTAGCCATAAGAAACAGAGGCGCAGCGCATCGCTACCTCTACCGTGGCATTGTAACAAACATATTTGAGATTATAAACCGAAAGCGTTGTAACGTGGGAGGGGAAGCAAAGCAAAAGAAAATGGGAAGCAAAGGAAATTTCTTCTGGCTATTGGCCACGTGCATGTGTGTTATCGTAGCGCATCACGAAGCCGGTGCTGCAGAAATGCGAGGCAAAGAGCTAATAAAAAATGTGTGCAAGACAAGGGGAAACGATGAATTGTGCATGAAGGTGCTTTCGACGGATCCAAGCAGCCCAGAAGCCACCCTAAAGGACCTGGCAATAATAACGCTGAAGGCCGCGGCGGAAAACGCCAGCGGCATATTAGTGGACGCGAAGAAGATGATCGATGACCCGAACTTGGAACCGGCAATACAACAGGGGCTGGCTGATTGCAAGGAGAATCTGTTGGATGCAGAAAGTCAAATTCAAGACACTATTGCTTCCGTTTTGTCCGACGATAAGAGAGATGCCCTATTGTGGATGAAGGCAGCCCTGGCTGCAATCGACACATGAGACGATTCCATCCCCGGAGACGATGACATTCTCTCCAGAAGGAGTGTAAGCTTTCGCCAACTCTGCAACATTGCCGTCGCCATCAACAAGAGAATGATGGGCGTTCAATCTTAGATGCTACTTACCATCTCTCAATCCTATGTTTCTGTCTTTTTGTCTCCACGTTTTGCAAATCCTAGATTTTTTGCTCGACAAGGTGGTTCAGCTTTTAGTTAGGTTGGTGAAGGAGACATTTAACTAGCGAGTGAAGGCGCCCACACATACTATGCTAGAATAAGGCACCCCTATTATCTTAGAACAACATCTTATACAATATACACGTCAATTTATTATTTTAAACAAAATTAGTGTAAGACATATTATACTTTTAAAACCAAATAGATAAAAGTAAATTAACTAGAATACGTAGTAGCAAAATAAACATACTGTAAAATGATAAATTACCAGTGTCAAATGATTTAAAAATCATATTTTCACTTACTCGTCAACAAAATAAAATAAAATAAATTATTTAGTGTTTATTTTTGTTACATTATAATAAATTATAAAAATTTAAAAATATGTTTTAATATTTATAAAACCTTAACTATATATTTTTATCAACGAAAAGATATCAGAGGAAATATACTAACTAAAAATTTGTGATACTCACGTGACAATTTATATAATCTTTTTATCTATATCATATCGTCAACTTCTCTGTTTCTCTTTTATTTTACAGATAACATTATTTAGAATAAAGGTAGGGGAAGGTGTTATCTTTCTAACGATAAGTTTGTGTGTAGCCAAAAGAAGCAAGGAAGAAAGAAGTTTTTTTTTTTTTTTTTTTTTGAAGTTGTGTCATTAACTCAGAAACAGGAACTGGGCAGCATGAGGACCCAATAATCTTGGTGATGAGAGATGGATATAGGATTATTCCTAAATCAGAAGCATGACCTATTTTGGAACCAGTTCATAGAACACATAATACTATTGCTTCTTTTTTTTTATTATTATTATTATTATTATATATGATGTAGTGGTTCCGAATAGCACAATAATTTATAGTTGAATAATATATTTCTATCTAGAAGAATAATTTATAAGAATACTCAAATTTTCAATCATCTTTATTGTTAATATTATTAAATTATTTCTCTCCTATTACTATTATAATATTATTTATATAATAAAACAACAAATACGAGATTCAAGATATTTAAATGATGCATTAATAACACATTTTATCACGTAACTATTATAATTTGATGTAATTTTTTGTCATTTAAATTTTTAAATAATTTACCACCAAATTTTAATTCTGTACTATAAATCGCGCTATCCAATATTTCCATGCATTTCGTTGATTGTATTTTTTAATTTGACACATCTTATCTTTGTGTTTGCTACAAAAATGGCGTTTTTAGTTGATAAAACCAGTTTTTTAACCAGTCAACACTCTGCTGCATAATCAAAATATAACAATGATGAAACGCTTAAAATAAAAAAAAATAAATTATGTGCAAGAAAATATTAAAGCGACAAGACTCGTAAAGTATAATTAATTAACTGACAAAGTATACGATCAAATTAATAAATTGGAACATAATTTATAAGATTATCTATATATAAACAAACGTATTCCCTTAAAAAAGTGGTATCTTTTGGATGCATAGACATATTTGAGTGGATTTTTTTTCTTATACATTTTTATTTTATTAAAAAATAATAATTTCTATTTTTTTTTCTAGTATACTACATTACACGAAGCCTTACAATCACAAAATCTAGTAGGTAGTATTTATAAATTTCAAAATACGAAGTATTAAATTTTGAATGGTGTAGTAGATATGAACAGTGATTTATAAATTGTTTTTTTTTATATTGTGATTTGATATAAATTTTGCTCTGAATATTCCGGTAAAATTAAATAAAATGAGAAGGTTTGATGTTGAGATAGGAAGAAAAGGTGGTTTTAAGATGTAATTAGTTTGTAAATAAAGTAGGGATAGTAGAAATGAAAAAGAAGGGAGTGTGGTCCTATTTACGAAAATAGAAGGTAGTGGGGTGGGACCTGTCCTATTTAACATAACACCAAAGGAAGTGCAACACGAATCATCATCATTGATGATGTTACTTAGGATAAAAGTAGAAACAACTTTCCAATTCCCAAGGTTAATACAGTAACTTTATTTCCTCTCAGGCAACGCAACTTCATCCATTCAAATATTTCAAATTAAATTATTAATACGTTTAACTCACTTATTTTATTAATATCATGTACGAAGTATATTCACAAAGCATAACCAGATTTGATTAATGTTATTTATAATTATTATTATTAATTATAAAATAATTTTAAATTAATTATAAAATGACACATTGTTATAAGAAAATGTACTTAAAATATCATTATTGTATTCACATAATACTCAACAATATATACGTTACTTTAACTTTTACAATTATTTAAACTTATTTCACGAAGTTGTAACATTCTCTAATATAATTACCACACAACAAAGTTATAACATTCTCTTGTATAATTACCATACAACAATGTATAAGTAGACGAGAAAGTTAATCAAAAAATTACTAGTATAATTTTATACAAGTGAGTTAATAATTCAACGAACTTTTGTCGGACCTAACTTCTAAAACTTTAAATTTACAAGCAGATTGAAATTTGAAGTGATGCAAAATAGAAAAATGATAATAAATGTTTTTTGGAAATTTATTTATATTAAGTATGTGTTGATAAAAACAGATATTTAACCTATTTTTAAGACTTTATAGGTTTATGTAACATTATTTTTACATATATAAATGCGTTTTAAATATGTAAAAAAATCATTTTTTTACCTGATATCTATGTAAATATTAAGTAAGTTCATTTGAGATAAATGATTTAAGGGGGAGAGATTAGATGAATTTGAGAATATTTGAAAAGAAATTGTATACTGTTATTTTTTAAGAATTTAGATGTGATTTAGATGAATTTAGAAGTAAACTTAGTAAGATTTATCTTATGTAATAAATAAAATAATGTTTTAATAGATAGAAATTAAATATTATCAAAATATTGTTAGTGATAAAAATCATATAAAATGATATTTATTAATAACATCTTTATAGATAAAATAAATTAAAATTAAAAAAATATAAAATAAAATAAAAATATTATTTAAGTAAAGCCAAAATATGTTATTTAAACTTTAAAAATATATATTTTTAATTGATTAATGACATTGTAATACACTGTCTGGAATGGGTTCTAGGTGAATGTAGAATCAGTTTTGTCAACCATTAGAATGAGTTATGGATTCAAATTAGTTATACCCTTCACACAATCGATTACAGAAGTTGATGTTCTCACGTTCTCAATGTCAAAATGGTGGAATTATGAAAATTATAAGGACGAAAATGATATTTAGCATTAAATCCCTTCAAATAATAGCATATCACACAATTAAAAAATCCCTCTATTTCACAATTCATCAACAACTTGACTCACTTTCAATTATTTCNCTCTCCAGAAGGAGTGTAAGCTTTCGCCAACTCTGCAACATTGCCGTCGCCATCAACAAGAGAATGATGGGCGTTCAATCTTAGATGCTACTTACCATCTCTCAATCCTATGTTTCTGTCTTTTTGTCTCCACGTTTTGCAAATCCTAGATTTTTTGCTCGACAAGGTGGTTCAGCTTTTAGTTAGGTTGGTGAAGGAGACATTTAACTAGCGAGTGAAGGCGCCCACACATACTATGCTAGAATAAGGCACCCCTATTATCTTAGAACAACATCTTATACAATATACACGTCAATTTATTATTTTAAACAAAATTAGTGTAAGACATATTATACTTTTAAAACCAAATAGATAAAAGTAAATTAACTAGAATACGTAGTAGCAAAATAAACATACTGTAAAATGATAAATTACCAGTGTCAAATGATTTAAAAATCATATTTTCACTTACTCGTCAACAAAATAAAATAAAATAAATTATTTAGTGTTTATTTTTGTTACATTATAATAAATTATAAAAATTTAAAAATATGTTTTAATATTTATAAAACCTTAACTATATATTTTTATCAACGAAAAGATATCAGAGGAAATATACTAACTAAAAATTTGTGATACTCACGTGACAATTTATATAATCTTTTTATCTATATCATATCGTCAACTTCTCTGTTTCTCTTTTATTTTACAGATAACATTATTTAGAATAAAGGTAGGGGAAGGTGTTATCTTTCTAACGATAAGTTTGTGTGTAGCCAAAAGAAGCAAGGAAGAAAGAAGTTTTTTTTTTTTTTTTTTTGAAGTTGTGTCATTAACTCAGAAACAGGAACTGGGCAGCATGAGGACCCAATAATCTTGGTGATGAGAGATGGATATAGGATTATTCCTAAATCAGAAGCATGACCTATTTTGGAACCAGTTCATAGAACACATAATACTATTGCTTCTTTTTTTTTATTATTATTATTATTATTATATATGATGTAGTGGTTCCGAATAGCACAATAATTTATAGTTGAATAATATATTTCTATCTAGAAGAATAATTTATAAGAATACTCAAATTTTCAATCATCTTTATTGTTAATATTATTAAATTATTTCTCTCCTATTACTATTATAATATTATTTATATAATAAAACAACAAATACGAGATTCAAGATATTTAAATGATGCATTAATAACACATTTTATCACGTAACTATTATAATTTGATGTAATTTTTTGTCATTTAAATTTTTAAATAATTTACCACCAAATTTTAATTCTGTACTATAAATCGCGCTATCCAATATTTCCATGCATTTCGTTGATTGTATTTTTTAATTTGACACATCTTATCTTTGTGTTTGCTACAAAAATGGCGTTTTTAGTTGATAAAACCAGTTTTTTAACCAGTCAACACTCTGCTGCATAATCAAAATATAACAATGATGAAACGCTTAAAATAAAAAAAAATAAATTATGTGCAAGAAAATATTAAAGCGACAAGACTCGTAAAGTATAATTAATTAACTGACAAAGTATACGATCAAATTAATAAATTGGAACATAATTTATAAGATTATCTATATATAAACAAACGTATTCCCTTAAAAAAGTGGTATCTTTTGGATGCATAGACATATTTGAGTGGATTTTTTTTCTTAT